TCCTTCCTCACCATGCCGTCTTTCAAAGCAACCCCAATAGTCATCGGCGTAGGCGACATAATCAACCGCTCCCTCGCCCTCTCAGACGCCCTCTCCCCGGACCAACTAATGCTGCAATCCATCCAGCTCGCTATCAAAGATACTGGCCTCCCTCAGTCCTCCTGTGAAACTCTTCAAGCAAATATCGACAGCATAGGAGTCGTCAATACCTGGTCATGGAATTACACCGATTTGCCGAGCTTGATATCAGAAAATCTCGGGGTGAAGCCAAAGTATAAGGGTCTAAGTCATCACGGTGGTGATTCGCCGGCTAAGTTCTTTGATGAGGCGGCGAGGAGGATTGCTCGTGGAGAGAGCAAGGTTGCTGTCATTACGGGCGGAGAGGCTTTGGCGAGTCGTGAGTTTTGCAAAAGAAAGGACGTGTGTTTAGAGAGCCGTGCTAATAGAGAAAAGTTGGTGCTTTTGCTACAGCTGGAAAATCGCCGCCTTGGATAGGTGCCAACGAGAGTGCGAGAGCTGTGTCCGTTTCCGACGTGTCGAGCATGGGCGAAAGTGAGTGTATGTTGTTTTTGTGTAATTCATGATCAGATTAGGCTAACCGAAGCACGAGGCATCGGAACACTTCACTCCGTTGGACTGCCGATACATGTTTATCCGCTATATGAGAACGCATTCAGAGCTCATAGAGGACAGTCTATCCAGGATAATAATCAAGAGTCTGCCGAGCTGTATGCCGATTTCGCCAAGGTTGCCGAACAGAACCCCCTCGCTTGGAACTATGGGAAACCTGCTGCGACTAAAGAAATCATTAGCACTGTGTCAAAGAAGAACAGGATGATTTGTTTTCCTTGTAAGTTCATAATTGTAAATGAAGGATTGGCTGGGGTCTGATAGGTGGTTCAGATCCGCTGTTAATGAATGCATTCAATAACGTCAACCTGTCGGGATCATGTATTCTGACTTCAATTGAATACGCGAAGGAACTCGGTATTTCTGAAAGTAGATGGGTATACCCACTAGGAGGAGCCGGATCGAGCGATGCTACCAACTGTAAGTATCCTACTAAATTCAAGATTTCACACTAATTTGAGTGAATAGTCTGGCAACGACCAAATTTCCATTCAAGTCCAGCGATCTCAAAATCGCTGGATGAAGGCTTACGAGTGTCTGGAGTATCGAAAGACGAGATTGACATCTTCGACTTCTACTCCTGTTTTCCAATCGTCCCTAAACTAGCATGTCAACATCTCGGGCTTCCATTGACGAGGCAGTCGAAACCGATCACTCTTCTTGGAGGCTTAACATCTTTTGGTGGTGCGGGGAATAATTATTCGATGCATGTTAGTTGCTCCTTTAGCATAGCGGTCCGATGCTAATAAGCGATGTTATTAGGCTCTTACGGAAATGACTCGTAAGATCAGAAACGGAGATGCGAAGAAAGGGCTGGTCCTTGCGAATGGCGGAATGGTAACGTATCAATATGTCGTGTGTCTCTCGTCACAACCTCGAGAGTCGCCATATCCTGAACGCAATCCTCTCCCAGAGGTTTTAACGGACGAACCTGTGCCTGAAGTAGATGATCAGGCGGAAGGCGAAGCCATTGTTGAGGTGGGATTTGTACCTTTGTCAAAGTGTTCTTGCTGACTCTGGTAGACATATACTGTTCAGTTCGAGCGAGATGGTACTCCGCTGCTGGGTCATATTGTTGGACGACTAAAAAGTAATGGCCATCGATTTCTGGCGAACCATGGCGACGATAGCACTGTAAAGCAGCTATCGAGCTCCGCGAAGGAGCCTGTCGGGAGAAATGGGTGGGTGAGCACTGGAGAGGAAGGAAGAAATCTGTTCATATTCTTTCAAAGAGAGAAGTTGTAAGGTTAAGAATACTACGAGTGCATTGGAGAATCGCAGCATATAAAGTCTAGAGCAAATGTCTCGCGGTAGCGGGATTCCCCCTTTCTTGAGGTTCCATATACAGCTTCTGCTCTCTGAATACGAGGCAGTCGTGTCCTTGTGTATTGGAGTGGGTAATGTACAACTCTTGGCGATGGATAGGCAGAAATTGTTGGCCCTCGACCTTCTCAGACTACCGTACTTGCACGTAAAAAGAAGCAACAGAGATTGAGGGTCCTTAAAATTGTGTTTCTCGTATCTCGGATCTACTACAGCTGTGCACACCTAACAAAGTTCAGTGCTGCCTACACGAGACTCCGAAGCCGGAAGAGCCAACAGAAATGAAGTGGGCATGTGATTTGACCTCCCTGTTTGCGAGTCTTGCAAGTCTATCACTTTCGCGATGCTTCACGATAGCTTTGTCTACCCGAAACGCTTCCCAGACACTGTTGTATCTGGTCGAATCTGCAAGTTGTGTAGATTGATGGCGTGTATGTATTAGAAGCCGCAGCTCAAGAGTCTTTGGAGACCGTATGATGTTGAAAAAGACTATGATAGGATGTCGAGCTCTTTGATGATTCTGCCAGCTGTTAAGAGAAAGTTTGTTGGACGAGACGACACACTTTGGGTTGATATTTAGGAAAAGACGGTCGCACTGCTTATCCTGGAGTCGAGAATGGCACCCTCCAAAGATCACACCTGGTTTGAGGTACGGAAAATATGATGATGGGAGCACGATCCATATTAGCACATCTGAAGGTAAATGTTCTTATAATCAGGGGAAGCATACTCATAAAGGCAATTAGATTCCTATTACCATTCACCCAACATTGTACCCTCCCGAGCTGTCACTGCATGCGAGACACTTCGATACTATACCATGCCGCAAAAGTGGCTGTATAATTGTACATGAATTCACCCGGAGTGTTACCCTTTTGAACAGTGGTCGGTGTCGGATCCCTCTTGCGAATCTGTTGCTTTACCTATCCGATTAGTCGATGTAGGCTCAGACCAAATCCGCCCCTTCTTAGCTGAGACCAAGGGGAAACGAGGTTCTTATCTAACACTAAGTCATCGATGGGGTAAAGGTTGCAAAACTAAAACCACGGTAGACAACATCGATGAGTTCAAACAGGCTGTCCCAGTGCCACAAACGTTCAAGGATGCAATAGCGGTAGCTTGTCAACTGGGATTTTAGTATATTTGGATTGATTCTCTATGCATCATTCAGCGTGATAAGGAAGACTGGCTTCAAGAATCGGCCAATTTAGGGCAGATCTTTCAGTCCTCAAGCTTTACTCTTGCTGTACTTCATGCGTTAGACGACGAGTCCAACGATCGAGGACTTTTTATCCCTCGGCCAGGTCTGCTGGCAGTGACGGTATGTTGCCCTGTCAAAAGGACTGCCGTTCCTAAAGCCTCTGCTAGAATACTCAATGCAACTAGACAGAATTGTGTTTGGAAGTACTAATGGCTTAAGAAGGATCGGGATGTAACCGATATCATTAACGTCGTTTGTCATAACAACTTTGTCTTGCAACCTCAGATCTCTAGTCTTTGGTACGAAATAATGGAGAGCGAATGGTATTATCGTGGGTGGGTATTTCAGAAAAAAGAACTTTCGAGGCGAATTGTCTACTACACAGAAGACAGAGTGTTTTGGGACCGCTCAGGAGCAGGGGAACGAGCAGGGCGACGAGCAGGGGCTCGCGAGAATCCAAGACGCGAGACCAGCTTGTATCAATTCGAAGTCTATGGGAGCAACTACAGCGAAGTTTTTCGCGGACGTGTTTGCTAGAGACTACTCTACTTCCAAGCTGAGCAAGCGCAAGGTTAATCGCCTTGCCATGCCGGGAGTCTGCAGCAAATTCGAAGAACAATATGGACAAAATTTCTACGCAGGTATTCTGATGATGGTACAAGTCAAGGCCTACTTTGGCAAATGTCAGAGAGTTGCATGCCAAAACATAGGTACTTCCATACCACCTTGGACTTGGGCTAGTCGGTCTAGCAAGCCTTCTTACCATTTTCCCGAACCATCAGAGATGACCTCAAAGAATCTCAGCAGTTCTATTTCGTTCCAGACGCAAACAGATTATGAATATAATAATCGCCATGGTTTTTGCGAGGATACCTGCGTCTAGGGCAAGGTTTCTCTTATTGCCCTAGTGGGACTACTGCTGAGACACCAGAAGACATACGATGCGAAGGTCGAGGACTACGACGTTCCATTTGAAAGTGCACCCAATCAGTATCTCACTAGGATAACTCGGCTCGGCTGTCCATTGGTGTGAGTCTCAATCTCAATCTCTAGGTTTGATACTGACAGAGGAATTCATGTAGGGAGTCCACGTAGTTCCTGCCCCGACATACCGAATTTCTAAAAGACTCGTCCAGATGTGATATTGGTTAAATCATCCCAGATGTAGGTAGGTATAGCAATTAGCCTACTATCGTAACTTGTGTTGGAGTTTGGGACGGAAGCGTCGGAGCTCATTACTCGAGCAACCTTTTAGTAGACGTGTTCAAGATTATTGTTATGACTGGGAATAATGTGTAGAGACAATCGGACTCGAGCTAACAGCTGGAACACCTACAAGATACTGACGGATTAGCCGAGGTAGAATAATAGGTATCCAGTTCTTGGTTCGGTAAATGTAGAGACGACCGGACAGAGCTCCCATCATTATCAAAGAGCTGATACAATCGATCCTTAGGCAGGCAGAGATTTGCCTACTAAAAAGTTGAGCAGCTGCTTCGCCACCCAGTAAGACAGAACGAAGGCAAACTGGAAAGTTTTCGTAAACCTAAGGAGACGATCGCAAGTTCACACATGCTCGGAAAGCATGTTCCCTAGTTGATATCCATTTTCAGCATCTCCATGGGACTCCCTAACCATCCTACTAGTCCGAATCCGTCGCATTGGGATTAACCCCGCGCACTTGGCGGGACTTTTCCACACACAGCACACCACCAATTAAAGCTTGATTATATTCCGGAAATATGGCATCATCATTTACAGAATTAATGCCCGCCTCGTCATCAGCTCGTCTCAATAGGTTAGTAAACATGAATCCTGAAATCTAATGATTTCACAAGCTAACCCTGTCTCAGCTCAGTGGTAGAGCGGAAGATTGCAGTGTTCAGTTATCTTCAGGTCCTGTGTTCGAACCACAGTTGGGACTCTATATCTTTTGCTTTTGGATCCTTTTTATCGTTTCCTAAACCTCTCTCCCGGCTCCTCCCCACAAGCTTAGAAGAATGACTATATATAATAACTACAGGTTATTTATTATACATACATACTATATATATACTATCTACAAAACTACCTACAACCTTTGCATTTTCCCTCTCTCTTTTAATAATCCTATTATAGGCCTGTAGCTCATACTTTCTATTCACAAAATTCGGGCTTGTTAATTTTTCATCTCATCTACCTAGAATACAGCAGATGTGAAAAAAATTATAATTATGATTAAATGTCCTTTATCTACCACTTCCTCATCCGATACTCCTTCATTCCACACCCCCTCATCAATCCCTCTTCCTTCCCTCCACTCATAAATCCTCGGAATCCCCCTCACCAGGCTTTTTCTTCACACCTGCCCGGGAATATTTTATAGACATATACAGTATACATAATAAATTGTCCCTCCACAGAATCTCTCTCTTTCATCTACTTTCGGCGAATGGAGAGTATCATCAGCATCTACCAACGAACCATACCTCAAAGGCAATGAACAGCAGGGAGGAATAAAGAGCGCGGAACAGGCAGGTAATGGTCAATAGATAGATAGATAGTTCCTTCCGGGTTCATATCGTGTGAAGAAGGAGGGAATGAACAAGGTAGAGAGAGGAGATAGCTCTTGAAAGAAGCCTCCTCATCCCTTTCCTTTTCAACCCGTCTCCAACCCAACACTCAAAAGTAAAACTCCTTATTGACCTAATGCAACCAACCTTCCCCAGCTCCATCCACTCTCGACCGACGCCAGCAGCCAGCTTATCAACTCCTCCAACCTACCACCTATAGTAAAGACAACCCAATAACCCAACATCCACCCCGCCAAATCCAATAAAAACCACAAACCCGTGACTCCCGAGACTCCATGCAAACAAAACAAACAAGTACACCCCCCTAGCGCAACCAAGCTAAAACAATCAATTCAAATACCATACTCGGAATGAAATCCGTGCCTCCCCTTTTACCCTTACACTCTCCCTCCCAATTCACCTCTGTTCCGGCACCACCATTCTCTCTCCTCTCCTCTCCTCTATTGAACTCCTCTTGATTTATTCCCCGCCTTCCACACGAAGAAATGAATAGGCGAACGAATGAACGGATGATCTTCCCATCTACGCAACCGTTGGATTGGAAAGTGGAGACGCGTACCTATATCCCTGTAGTGATTCCCTATATGTAACCAACCTGTCTGTATTTACACAACGAACTATGCACCTGATGAATCGCATGCTGGTACGCTTGTCTGTAGGGAATCAATAGAACGTTTGATAATCCGGTTCTCTTTTGAATTCAGAAAGGAGAGAAAGATTTACTTATTACTCCACAGGCAGATGGGTATTAATAGTATAGATAGATATATATCATGATATATTAATAAATCCTCTTCCTAAATACACAGACCGTTCCGTGCCGTCTAGCTCTAAACTATACTAGGCCTATTGTCCATTGCTTCCTTCATATTCAATTGCCACAACCCCGAACCAAGGCCTGAATACAAAAAGATACAAACCGACCGTGATCCGCGGATCCAGCCTGCTTAAAATCAGATTCCCTCCTGATTAACGCCACGCTAAACCTGAGATTTTCCCTTTTACATCCCCCCTTTACTTATACTCGCCCGTATCACGAACCCTTCCCGTCCTCTCTCCCCGAAATTCTTTCCTCTTCCCAGCTAAACCTTTTCTCCGCCGGCTGCGGGATATGCACCAGATCCTCACCATCTAGCCTCCTCCCACTACCCTGCGGATCAGGGAGTGATACCTTAGAACTCATCAACGCGCTTCCCATCTCACCTTCACCTTCGCCCTCATCTACATTCCCCGCTCCACGCTGTAATGTCCTCCCATCCGTGCTATTATCAGGTGAGGAAACAAGATCCATGTTCACATCTCTCGAACCTTGCGACCCAGAGCCAGAACCAGAACCAGAACCAGAAGGAAGAGGTGATACGATATTAGTGTTCCCACTATCACTGCTGTAGAGATCATCGGCTTCGTGTTCCATATAACGACTTCCCAGCGAGCTATTTGCGCCAATACTAGCTCCAGGCTCGGTGGCTATGGTGCTTTCAGACTGGATCGTCCGACCATCACGGCCTATGATCCTAGGCACCACGCGCGGGAGCTGTACGTTATGAGGTAAACGACCCGCATAGACGACATTCGCAGGATCGAGATTGAAGCGCCGATATGTAGGTGGTGGTGCTGCAGGCGACGTAGATGGTAACACGTAGCCAGGACTCACGGGCGAGTTTTGGCCGCTGATGTTTAGGGAGCCGCCGAAGTGGGAGTTGGAGTCGACTATGGGACTTACGGAAGCACTGTCGATGTGAATTCTAGGCGAATCTGGGGAGCGGTAATGCGCTACGTGCGAGACATCTGCGTCGCTTTTCTCAACGGGATAAGTTTCTCGCGGTGGAGAGGATAGAACGAATGCTGCTGCTTGCTGACGTTCTAGTTTCCTTCTAGCACGCTCGTAAGCGGATATATTAGCCGAGTCTTGAGTCGAGCTCCCGTGCTCGGTTGTCCCATTCAGTGAGGTAGTGGTCGCGGATTCAGAATCTAGCTCTGCTGGTCCCAAGGGAGCTGGAAGCTCGAATCGTTCGTGGGAAGCGTCGGCACCTACTTCGGTTGGGAAGGTCGAGGATCCGCTGGCCTCGTGAACGCCGACTCGCGTTGGGCGATTGCGATTGAGGAGACGACAGAGAAGGGTTCTTGGATTTTGTGCTGGAGCCAGTGGCTTCTCGAAATCGGTGTCGTTTTGTTTTCTCTGGCGCTTGCGGCGGCAGAGGAAGAAGATCAACAAGGCGGATATGGCTACGAGAAGGAAGGCACCGATTACAACTCCTGCTATAGCTCCACCTGATAATTTAGATCCTGATTGAATTGGAACGCCTGAGAAGGTGCTGTCCTGGGGCGGTCTGATAGAGACGATAGTAGTATTTCCTACCGAATCCATGGGATGGATAGCCTGGTGGACGGAGAATGTATTGCGTTCATAATCCGTGATAACATATGCTTCTTGCAAGAATGCACGCCCAATGGTATACTGAGCTTCATTGGTTGCCTGGCGCAGTGGGAAATAGTATTTCGTAGAATTTGCGGCCCCAAAACTCGTATCCGGGATTGCCGGATATGTCAGCTGCAGATCGAATGCAGCATATGGGACCGTAATATTAATTGTAGCTGGCGTAGACGAGAGGTCGGAAAGACTGAAAGTGAATGAGAGTGAGGAAGAACCCAGAGTACTGTGTTGAGTTTGATTGGCGTCGAAAGTGTAAAGATTAAGTAAGGTATCATAAGTCATACCCAAGCTTTGAGCGAATCTCTCACAAACAGCTTTAGGCAGCCATAAGTATGGTGTTGAGCTATCGATTATGGCAGACACTCGGTCGGTTGGTCCGAGGAGCTGTACTGGCTTGGTCCAATTATTCGAAGCTGCAGACGAAGCAACGGAAATCGAGTTAACGTAAGTCAACAGCTGTTTTCCTGGATTGAGGTTGAAAGATACTTCATGTGGAATAAAGCGACTAGAATCATATCCTCCGAGGGTCAAGGAGTTGACGACGCCTTTCTGTTCTGTTTTCGTTAGTACGCATATTTGGCTACTGGCGAAAGTACTCACGATACTTTGCCCCAGCTGTATATCCCCAGCTGTGACTGGGGATAATTCCAACCTGCTCCACCAAAGCACTCAAAGCACTTAATGGCGAAGTGTTGTTGAAGCCTCCCTGAACGACACCCAGACCGAAGAATCCAAGTATATACGATGTCCCACTGATAGGTCCAGTCCCATTGAATGCACCAACGATAGCTGAGGGTATCATAACACCCGTGCCTCCGAAAGTCAAGTTATCCAGACCGTATTGAGCGTATCCCGTATTTCCCAGTTGCTTGCCTACTCCCAGCTCGAAGAACCCTTGGTTTTGCCATGTCGATGATTTGGAAGGATCGAAGATACCTCCCCTGATAAAGGAGCATTCACTATCTGGATATCAGTTAGTGGCAGAATTCGGCAACAGTTCCATGTCCCAAGTTGACGTTTCCGCGCGGTGGAGTTGACAATACAGCATTCTTTCTTGAGTTACGCGTGCCAATCCTTCCAGTACTGCAACCAATACTCCAAGCAAGAGAAACCACTCACCACCAACACTACATCCTCCAGGTCCAACAACCCACGTCTCGGAACTCACCGTGCTAACCATAACATCCACCCATTGCAACGGATCCCCGACACGAATCGAAATAGCAGACCAAGTTCCATCGTCGCCATACCTACGATAGCTTAGCACTGACGCCGCACTCCTCAAGATTCCAGGGAATGGCCGTATAGACGTTATATCCTCGCCCCGACAGGAAAACAACTCACCAATTCGCAGACGGAGGAATACTCAACGCCCTGACCGTCTCAGCAGCATCCGCGCCTTCAACACAGGTCCCAAATGCCGCTGTAAACCCCAACACAACATGAACGAGACGGATGCGCGACCATCTCGATTCCATGGTCGCTTAAATCGTGGCGCGCATTCTATTTCACGATCTTCACACAAATGTAGTGTGTCGCGCCCTCACAATCAGCGGAAAGTGTCAGATCTAAGACCATCCCATCATAGCCTGGGCTTGTCCTTGGAGGGGAAAGAAAAAGCTGGGGCCGGCGCGCGTCGCATACGAAGATCCTTGTAGGGTGGTACCTTAGGCTTTCCGGATCCCTGGGCCACGGAGGCTTTCGTAGTAGGGCCCAGGTACTGTACTGTACGTAATGGAACGGGGTTTTGCAGTGTGTTTCATCACTCCCCTCCCTCGTGCAGCCTTAACCTTCTCGGGCAATTTATGGAGTAGACGGCGTATCTGTATAATTCCAGACAATCAATTGGAAGGATACAGGTAGGTAGCCTTCCTGATTTTACAAGGGCTGATGAGAACCACTACAGACCCCCTTTCC